AAATCAGGAAGGGTGTGTGCCAAGGATAATCTATATGCAGAACAGATTATCCGGGAGGCTGGGCTTTATGTGGAGAAATGTAACATCAGAATTGAAAGTGGACTCATCAACAATCTGCGTTATGCAGATGACACAACCCTGCTGTTGAAACTGAGGAGAACCTGAAGCACTTGCTGCAGAGGGTCAAAAACGGCAGCCTTCAGTATGGATTGAAGCTCAACATAAAAAAAAAAAAAAGATTCTCACCACTGGACCAATTGGCAGCATCATGTCAGATGGTGAAGAGATTTAGATTGTTAACAGCTTCAGTTTGATTGGCTCTACAATTAACACTCTTGGTACCAGCAGCCAGGAAATTAAAAGACTAATTGCTTTGGGAAAGTCTGCTGTCAGAGACCTCTCCAAAGTACTGAAAAGCAGCAACGTCAGTCTGGAGACTAAGGTGCATCTGATACAGACCATGGTCTTTGCAATTACTTGCTATGCATCAGAGAGTTGGACAATGACTAGGGATGATAGAAGGAGAGTTGATGCCCTTGACTTTGGTGCTGGAGAAGAGTATTGAATATACCATGGACTAAACAAACAAGTTCGTCCTGGAGATGGTGAAGCCAGGCTGCTCCTTGGAGGCAAGGATTCTGAAGCTTCATCTGACATAGTTTGGACATGTTGCAAGGTATGATCAGTCCTTGGAGAGGGATGTCATGCTTGGAAGGGTGGAGGGACAACGCAGGAGAGGAAGACCTTTGATGAGATGGATTGATTCAGTGACTGGGGTGATGGGGTAAGGTGTATCAGGAGACTATAAGATTGGCACAGGATAAAGCAGGATTTAGGGCTGTTGTATATAGGGTCGCTATGAGTGGCAGACGACATGTCGGCACATAACAGCAGTATAGTGAACCTAATGAATGTAAGCTTTTCTCTCTTGGTAGCACTTGGGTCCCTCCAGTCTCTGCTAACTTGTTTAATCTCTTTTATGTCTCAAAAGAAATTGGTTCAAAATATAACCTATTCCCATAAATTTTATCCTGATTCATTAACAAAACAGTCACTAAACCTTCATTAACATCAGAGAGGTTAAGATTTACAACACATAAGAATATTCCATCTGATTAAAATTAGAAGATAAAGGCACAATACTAAGAATTGCCTAGTCACGTTGACATCTCTTTAGGATAGAAGAACATAATTCACTTCATAATGGTGATATACCTGAGTATTTTTTTTTCTAAAATAAAATCCTACATAACAAAAAGTGAGAGGAAGGAAGATGAGGGTTATGAATCCCTAGGTACTGTTTCTAGTCTGTAATATGTGTTAGGAAATGGAAAAGATTATTTTTAACTGTCTACAGAGTAATTGCTTGATTTACAAGTCTGTTTCTCCACTATGAAAGGCCTCTGCATCAGGGTTCCTTAAACAGCCAGCTTTCTCAGAACATCTAACTATAAATTCCAGCTTTGCCTGTGTGTGTGTGTGTGTGTGTGTGTGTGTGTGTGTGTGTGTGTGTAAACATTTGAAAAGCTTATTGTGTAAAGAGAGAAACATTAAACAATTCCTCCTCTGAAATTTTCAGACTAGAGTGGGTGTGTGTTATCAGAAGTTGGGTGTTCTGGCGAAGTATCCCACAGTAACTGGGAAAAGAGGCAGTTGTCCTCTGAGAGAAATCCAACAGGGTCAAGCCAGCCAAGATTCACAGCATCATCAAGGACACAGCCTGTTCCCACGATGAAGAGATGTGTTAGTTGTACCCTAAAACTGATATCAAACCCCTGGCATTGCTGACTGAGAAAAAAAACAAACAAACCCAACTAAAGTAAGAGAAACCACAAAACAATAAACCCAAGTTTTCAAGTAAAAAGAGAGCCTCTTTATTTTATTTTGGATTTTTGTGTGTGATAGAACAAAATGAAAAAATTATTTTAAGATGCTTACAATGATTAAATGGAAAATATTAAGGTGTGATGTCAGAAAATCTTTAGTGGCTTTGTTATGAATTCTTCATCTTTGTTTTGAGATTTAAAAATTTTTTCTTTTCCTTATGATTCTCAATAAATACCCAGAGAGGCATGGCTTGAGGGCTTCCCTCATGGGAACTGCTGGCCCCCTGTTTTTCACACTCTCTGTTCTATATAATTTAAAAAAATTTATTTTATACTAGTTTGCTTACAAAGTTTATACACACAGTGTTTCACACTGTTCTTCATTCACATTGTGTTTCATACAATCACTCCCATTCATTATGTTTTAGAAAATTAATCACCGTTGAACTATTCCTACCATGACCCTGTCTTTCCAGAACTCCGCCAGATCTCTGTGAACCACTTTATGAGGAACTTTGCCAGTAGGTAAAATAAGCAGGTTTGCCTTTTGGCATTTCCTAGTCTTCCTTTCTCCAAGTGTCCAAAATAGAGGAAAATGAATCAAAAGTTGAGGGGCAACAATTAACGGGCTTGAAGATAATTAAAATAACAATTAAAATTTTTGTTAAATGTCTAAGTGCAGATTATAATTTTATCAGGTTGAAAACTAGGGCTTGACATCTAGTTGTCCTGATGAAAGTCACTGAATATTCTTGAACCTGTTCTGCAAATGTTAAGCATTCTTATCCAAGTTCAGAAGACATATTTACAGTAAATTATTAATATAAGGTTAGTTAATGGAAAGCATAGTAGAACTGTAAGAAAGACCAAATAGTATTGTCAATCACTGGATTCTACATTTATTTTTTAAAAAAAATATGTCTACTCCCAGGTGTAGTAGACATAAGGCAAAAACAAGGAGCAACAGGAGGCTGTTTGAAAATCCCTGCTCTATCATTTACTCACTGCATGTCTTTGAGTACATGTATTTAGTGTCTCTGAGCTTGTAGGGTTCTTGTATGTTAAAAATTGATTTAGTAATATATGTTTTATACCGTGTGTGTGTGTGTGCGTGTGTGTGTGTGTAGTGTATCTGTGTATATACACACACACCTGTATTTATATCTAAGTATCTGTCTCTAGAGCTCTGGTAATTGATTCTGTAGGGGTTGTGCTGCTAATTTAAAGGCGGTTCTTCTCTAGTGGTTTGGATCTACCAGTGGATCTGTGGGGGAAAGACAGGCAATCTTCTCCTGTGTTATTTACAGCCTCAGAACCCCAGTGGAGGGTCAATGAATTGGTTCAACAGCAGTGAGTTGAACTATAAACTATAAACTCATTATATCAGTAAGAGCTCCCTCAAATAATTTAGGCGCTTGGCATGAGGTAATGGCTATATTTGATTGAAGGCTAAAATTCCGTATTGAGGTAAAAGTAATCTCTAGATGAGAAATGTAGCCTATCATTCCTGTAACTTTCTACTGTATCCTTTTGACTGTAATTACTTAGTAAACAGTTTCAGAGGACAGTATAATTTGGCTTGATTAAGGGTTTTGCTTGCTGCTTAGGCAGTCAGGTCCAAAACAGTTTTCAGATCAGATACTACTCAAAAGAAGCTTTAGAATTATTATGCACCAGCTCCCTCCAGTCACACAAGAAAAGTTGATCTGATAATTGTTTAGAGATCAACAGTATTTCATTTAGTGATTACTTTGTAACTTGGGCAAGTTTTCTTAGAAACATATATAATCTCTTACCAATTAGATGTGCCCCCATGCAATTTTGTAACCATTACATAAATGTCAACCAATCACTGACTTTTTACTGAACTTCCTTATATTTTTCTTATGAAAACTAACTGAACTCTTTCCTGGATCATTAAACCTTGTGATTTCCACTTTCCAAATTGCTTTATCTTTCAATTCAAGCTCTTTTTGCTTAAGTTTTCAATTATGAGTTGAATGGAAGATTATAGAGAAAATGGACTTTTCCATTTAATAAGGCATACACTAACATATATGATATATGAGTGGCAAGCAGCTCGATGGCACAAACAACAAGGTGATTGACTTAGATGTTAGTTGCTGGGATGATTAGGTGTTTACAAGAAATAGAAACTCCATCTTAGTGGACCTAGTATAGTCAGGGTAATACCAGTTAACCTTTCCTCTTTCCCAGTTGAAGGGAGTTCTGGTGACCTGGTGGCCAAGTGATACAAAGCTGCTCTGCAATCATGAAGGCACATGATCTGAATACAACAGTTGCTCTGCAGGAGAAGGCTGGCCAGTCTCCTCCCGTGTTACTCACTGCCTCTGAAAACCCACTGGAGAGTCAGTAATGGGTGAGTTCCGATTCCACAGTACACAACAGCAACTGTGACCTAGTGGTAAGGAGTTGTGTTGCCAGCAAAAAGGCGGGGAGTTTGAATCCACTGGCTGCTATGGGAGAAAGATGAGGCATCTCCTCTCATGTTATTTACAGCTTCTGAAAACCCACCAGAGGGTCAGCTATGCATTAGTCAGGGTCTGACTACTGAATGAACAAAGCCGCAGGAAAAGAGGTTATTAATAGGAATGATTGTTGCTCATACGTGTATTTTAAAATGTTTACTGACCACCAAATATATGCCAACCCTGAGCTAGGTATTGTTACAGTGCAGCAAAACAGGTAAACACATTGTCTTTATGGACTCAACAACTTACTGCTGTTCCAAATCAGAGGCACATAACAAAACTCCCTCAATTTATACTAGAAATAATTCTAAGGAAACTAAGGCTTTACCAGAATTATTGTTGTTGTTATATGCTACGTTATGCAGATGACACAACCCTGCTTGCTGAAACTGAGGAGGACCTGAAGCGCCTGCTGCAGAGTGTCAAGCACTGCAGCCTACAATATGGATTGAGGCTCAATGTCAAGAAGACAAAGATTCTCACCACTGGACCAATTGGCAGCATCAGGATGGATGGTGAAGAGATT